TGTTGCTGCTCACCTTTGTTTGCGGCTCTCGCGGGAGAGCTTCCCGCTACTCTTGACATGTTTGCCCGCAGCTGTCGTTTATCACGGCGATAACGATGATCGGCAATTGGGTCGCTAATAACGAGGATACGGCGTGAGGCACCGTTCCTCAGGATGCGTCGAGATGTGTGCCGATGTAAACAATGGATCGCGCTCAACCGCGGTCAACGACCATCGCTACCCGTCCTACAGGTCAGCGTACTCGGCAGCTCGGCACTGACTGCTGCCGTTTCGGGTTCTCCAGCCGAGTCTCGATCCTCGGTCGGTTGCATTGAGTCGCTCGTTGTTCGCTGCGTGACGCCTGTACCGCCTGTACGTCATACGGAGGATAAACAAAGACCCAGGCGTATTCACTGTACAGCCGCCAGCGAAAGCGTATGCAGCTGCACATACTGCACACGAGTTACTCCTTTTTTCTCACTTTGACTCCTACTCCTTCTTTAGCAACACATACCATAAGAACACGCGTATATGCTAACATGTATTCTATGTACATTTGAGATTTTACATTGAAAGGAAAGATAGATATGTATTGGAAATGGAGAATCGTTTATCTATTAAATAGAATTAATTTATGCAAGTTTTAAAATATGAAAGGAAATTGAAATAAATATATACATTTTATTGCTATGACATTTTGTCTGATTAATTTGAGTTGTGCCTCTTTCTTACTGCATCTAAAACCTTGAACGATTATTTTACATTGCAAGTTTAGTCACACTAAGTACTTTTCTTATTGTTAGTGAAAAAGATTTTAAGCGTCACTAAGATTAATCAAGATTGATTACAGTGACCTATAGATAATTGAAATATTAATTACTAAGACAATTATTAAATTAAATAATCGTTATTAATATATAATCCAATGACATATTTCTCGCTTCAAATTAAATAATAATATAAATAAAACGCCTTATAAGTCTGATTATAAGTTAGATCTTCGTACTTAATAATATTTCAGTGTGAATTTATATACATATATTCAATTCTGTAAATGCGTGCCAATTTAATTTTTGGTTTTGAAACGCAATCTTTAAACTGAAACTGGGGTAATATTATAAATTAATTGATTCGAGTAGAGAAATGTTTATAACAGATATATTTAAAAAATTCACGTTTATTATACTTCAATGTAAATATAAATATATTTTTATGGATAACGTTGTTTTTGTGCAATTTTACCCGAAAAAAAATGTTTCATAATTATATAAAATATAATTATATAAAATTATATATAATATGTCCATATATATAACATTTTTTTCGGATATCTTATGCTCGATACAAAGCCTACAATTTTTAACATAATACATACATGCATCATGATCAGAATTATGGCGCTATTATAATCATATAATTTATTAACCAAATATATAATTTATATTATTTGATATTACTAACATAATTCAATCTTGGATAATTTTTATTTAGATTATACATATGTTACATGTCCTTTTTATAACTTTGGTATATAACACTGAATTGGTTTATATAACAATTAAACGGTAATTCTTGTACAATTTCTAATCACCTTACTTTCTCCAAGAATATATCTCCCATAGCAAAAAACATCACAGTTACATCACAACAGTTATGGTGACGTGCGAATGTCTTTGTAACATGTGTTAATTTGTTATAACAATCTCACAGTGACATCATATTTTCTTCCTGACTCTATTGTGACGTGAATGTGACCCTTTGCTATGGGGGATTTGTTGATATTATATATATTACAAAAGCAATACGTGGTTATACGTATTTTACATGGATTCTCAAACTGTAAGATATATTTACGGTTATGAAATACAATAATAAATATATATTTATACATGTAAATGTACAAGAATTTTTTTATGAAATAACTGTACATAAATTTTCGACATTATTTTGCATTGATTGCAGTTCAAAGGTTCTGTTGAACACTCTTTTCTTGTCGTTTTTTGTGCTTCGCAACATTTATTTTACGTACTTGTAACCTAGATCGGAAAATTAACTTGGACAATGTGTTGGAAATTAGTAGACTGTTAGAAGGCATTCAATAGAAAATTATATAATAGTTGTGTTTTCGAATAAAAGCGAAATGTAATATAACCGCACTATAATTGTGATAAATGCTTTTCCATAAAATATTATATAAATTAAACTTACATGGCAGTAACAGAAATTACTCGCGTAGCATAAACATGTCGCGATTGTCGAATAAATTTGCTATCAACATTTATAAATGAGGTGAATTTCTTAATTCACCGATCGATCGTATTATGTGCACAACTTTGTCAGGTGCTTGTGTAAAAGCACTTGACGCATAATGCAATTAATATCAATCGATAAATTAAAAAACTTATCTATATTCACATGAAAATTCTTTATCGATCCGATTGCACCAACATTCATTTACAGTTAATTTCTTCCTAAATATTATGCTTGATAATTTATTTTTATAATACTTAAGAAAGATTAAATTTACATTAATAAAGAAATTATTTATTTTTATTCTGTAGAATTTTTTCATTAAAAAAAAAAAACATTTTAAAGATCATTATATTTTTTTTTAAAAGATAATTTCGTTACATAAAATATAATGTATTGAAATGTAATGCATGATATTGCATACAATTATTTTTTTTTATTTATTCGATTCGAGGCAAGAAACTAGCAAATAAAAATTATTAAATTAAGGATGTTGAAGCAACCGATTTAAAATCGTACTGCGTATCTATAGTCGCACCATAACACCTCCAGGTGCTCTGCGTTAACGCACTAGACACAGATGGCTCCATTGCATTCTTGCTCGGATTTTGAGGAGTCCGACTCCGAGAAGGATCCGTAAAAGGGCCTTTTTCGACAACAACAGAATCGTTCAAGCAACTCCGTCAAGTTGCTTCTCTCGGAGTCGTCCCTGAAGATGCCGCTCGATGCCTCGTCTGTGCATGGAGCTATAAATGTCTGCAGGTCATTCTTCGGGAAACCTTCGCGATAATATATCTTGATCGTATCATACGCGTCCATTATCACAGAAATGAACAAACTTAAGACGACGTAAATGTACAGTGAGATAAACGAATATAAATAGATTCTAGAATACCACCATAACACAGCTGATTTGGAAAACGTTATGGAAAACGTAGCGAACATATCATCGCCATTAATTAACGCAAACAAGCACTCGGATGTGGTCGCAAGGGATCGGAACTTTAAATTATATGGACCAAGCACCAACCAGCCACAGAACGTGAAACCGGCATAAATGAGAACAGCGCATATCAAGAATCTTGCCACTTTCGGTATCGCTTTCTTTAGAGTTAAAATGACAACATTGTACGTCTTGAAGAAGCCAAGATAGCGCAATACACCAAACCACACAAGCAGATTTCCAGTTCCAAGAAATATACTGCAAATATTCCAGTGATCAGTCTCGGAGTGTTTTCGCTCGATTTGTTCCTTTATGACGGTACCAATAATGATAAGTAGATCATTGATGATAATCATAATGTACCAAAGGTTCAAGAATTCCAGTCGACCTTCGAAGCTTAGTATTGTGCCATACGTTTTTTTGAAGAAGTTTATAGTCTCAAACTTCAGTAGTTGAGCTCTATATATCGCTCGCGAGCATAACACCAAAGAAATCGTACAAATCAGTATGACAAGTAAATTCAGCAAAGTCCTCAGTGCCGATTCGATGCGGTTGTCAGTAATGTAATGGGTATCACCTTTACATTGCAACTTCCTAGCCTCGGCATCTAACGAGAGCAGCATCTGTCCATCGAAATCGCGGTTATCAAAGATAACCTTAATGTTGAAACGATAACAATCGGGTGGTGTCATTGGCCCGGCCGCTTTCAAATTCACCGTTTTTAGAGCAAATTTCAGATGAGCGCGTACCAGAGCGGAGAAATTGACGTTAATGTTTCTGTCTTGCAGAAGATTGTGCGACGAATTAAATGTGTTGAAGGTCTCGAGAGTGATGTTCATGCAAGTTTCCACAATTTCACTATCAAACACGTAGCTCTCGTTGAAACCGAATATAATGCCCTCCTTATACTCGTAAAGACACAAGGTTACGGGCCCTACCGAATTATCTTCGGCAATGTAGGAGTACGCACCGATAGCGTCGTTGACGTTGTAATAACCATGCAAAGCATAATCGATAGCATCGTAAAAATCGCTTCGCTTGTAGATAGCTAACGGTCCTGATGCGGGTGGATATGCAGGTACCTGAAGTATTAAATTAAGTTTATGTTCACGTGCTTTGTATTTGATACCGTGTTCGATATTCAAAGAAAGATAGCAATTCAAATAGAAAAAATCTTATTACGTCATTATTATGGAATATCTATCTAGGTGTCATAGATTAAGATCTAAAGTGGTGAAAATACAGTGATCACTTAAGCTTGCTTTTCAAATTATTTTAAATAATATAATAAAAAATACTTTACAGTTGAAATACTATCTTTCTATTTCCATCTTCCATTAGATAGCGTTAAAAAATGAGAATGTAATTGAGATTCATAAATATATATATATATATATATAAACAAGATTAAGCTGTGTACCTCTTGAGTAGATTCCCATCCCATTAAAAAGAGATGGGAGAACGTGATTCGGTTGTCCCAAGTATAATTCACGTGCATATAATTGTTATGTGCGAATAAACAGAGTTGTACGGTCACAAGGATGATCTTGATAACTTGGACGACAAATTTATAGGGGAAACGCCGTTTCGCCTGCCACTTTTCAATCGGATTCATGAAGAAGAATCGCAGTTTGCGTCGCATTTTCTCCTCAGCAAATGTCGTGACTGGACAAGCACTGCATTCTATTGGGGTAGAATGTTTTTGCCTATAATGTGTAAAATATGTTATATCTTTATTATTTCATAGCACTTTCATAGAACTTTTTAAATATAATATCGGAGTTTATTATATTACACCATGAGTAAAAGTCTGTTATAATACTAAAAAAAAAATTTTTTTTGTTTCATAAGTAATAGTTTTCGTCAGAGACAACTTTACTGTAATTAATTATATTTAATCTTATCATATATTAGTTTAAATATTGTACTATTACTAGTTTTTATAATTTTTATTATGATTTCTTTTTTCCTTTTTAATTTGTTTTACATTTTTATTTGATACAAAAAAATAGTTTTTCTATTTACAGAACATTCAATCAATCGTATGTAAAGCGTTAAAACGCTTTTGATTAAAACATTTAATTTATGATAATATTTTCGAGTATGGTAAGAATGATACTTGAAAATGTGATAACACATACTATTTAAGCTGGCAGAGATTATATCATGTAAGCGCAACGTGGTAAAACATATATCAATCATCGTAAACATAGTGATCTTATATATATTTATTATTTATTATTTCTTCTAAGGGATAATTTATGAATAATCAAAAGCCACTGTCTACAATGATTAACAGACGATTCCCTTAAAAATAGTTATTTTATTTCTGAGAACGCGTTGACTAATAAATTAGAAATTTATCGAATTATACGGGCGAATTATATACGGGGATTAACAAAATAGTAATAATTTCCATTAAATATTAATACATATAAGCACAATTGTGGAATTATGAAGCATAAGAAATTAAATGCAAATTATCATTAATTTGCACTAATGAAAATTATTCCTATCACAATAATATATTTGTATGAAAATGTAAAAAAAATATAAAATTAAAACGGCATAAGAGGATAGATCAATAAGAGATGCTACACTCAATTAATGAAGCTAACAAAGTAATACTACTAATTGAAAAATAATATAATTTCAACGATAATATAATGCAAAATGGATGAATCTTATCCATTATTTCAACAGTATAAATATAAAATATTTAAGATATTTATATTCAGTATAAAAATCAAAATGATTCTTGTATGTATGTTGTGTTTAATGCAAGATTTGTGTTCATTCCTTCAACGTAATCGTTATTAGCCCTTCGTAAGTACAATGAATCTTTTTTGACCTAAGTGAAATTTTACTCTCAAATTTTTTGGCACAAATTTCAATTTCTATTATAAATAAAGGTTTTAATATTTAAGTTAAATAACTATTTGGTGATGTAGTAAAGATGTCAAAAAGTAAGAAATCTTGAATTTTTCTAGATTTTTTGAATGTCTTAAACCATAAAAAAATTTAGACTAGACAAGACCCAGAGTCTAGGCCATGGCATGCAGAAAAACTTAAGATGTAAGACTTGAGCAGTGAGCTAATTGACCAATTACAGTAGACCATAACGTAAGCAGTAGCAAATTCAACACGTTGATTTCCTTACCCTACTTAGGTTTTACGTCTTAAGTTTTTCTATGTGTCATGGCTTTAAAAATATGTGTGCCTATGAAAAATATAGGAAATCATACATAAAAAATTTTTTTTAAATAAAATTAATACACAATATTATGTACTCTGTGAAAACTAATGAAATTACAAATTCTTATTCATGTTTTTCATTGATAATGTATAAATTATGTAGATAAGCAATAGTCTTTACATTGTCCAATAATAGTTCTGAATATGATGAGTCTGCACAATTTGTAGCAAAATAAGCTACAAATTATAAAAGATAAAACATAACAGCTAATTTTATCTTAGAAAGATAAAATTAGCTGTTATCTTTCCTAAATTACTATTTAGAAATGCTGCATTTGGAACACATATACAATCAATGTCAAAAACAATCGAACAATGCAACATTATCAATATTATATTGTAACATAGCAAAGCAGAATTCATTCGATCGAAATATAACAAAGAAACGCATGATACCAAGACTGTTGAATGCCATCAAGCTAATCATCAATGTAATTTAATAGTATTAGAGATAACTGGCAAACACAATTGTAACAACCTTCAATTGAGAAATAATATCGGTAAGCTCGCTGGAGTCGTACAAACCTCTGTTCGCTGTTTTCGTTCAACAATGTATTCTCACTGGCGATCTCCTCCTCGCTGTCATTGCCGTGGCTCCAGGTGCGGTTATGCAGTCTGTTCCCGGAACTGTCCTCGTGTTGGATCCTATTTCGTGACTGCATCCTATAAAATTCCAATGTACGACGATTGAAAAACCAACGATGAGCGAACTCACGTGGAAGTATCAACAAGCGAGTGTCCTATCCCACGGAGTCGTTGTTGTCGTCGCACCACTTTCCACCTGATGATGAAACATCCAGCTGTTCACATGCGTGGATCTACGTGGATAACGCGGAATGAATATCACGGCATTGACGTTTATCGTATTGGAAGATTAAAAATCATGTACCTGAGCGCAACGTGTAATTAATAGCAGACGTAGCGATGTTAAATCACCAGCCATCGCACGTCATCCGACTCGAAGAAACGACTGAGCTCGAATCACTCGAATGTGACGTGACTGAATGAGCGACGCTGCGCGCCATTGGCTCGAGGAGGCGCCACTGTTGATTGTGGGTGGCGCACCTTTTTTCTGCTTCGCTTCGGTGTGAAGTTGGCCGCGCGTTTTACGAATTTCCTTCTTCGCCATATTGCTTGTAAGACGCAAGTAGATTCGTGCGCGATCGTATCTTTTCCAGCGTTATTTTTTGTAGCGTACATAATAAAGCCGTGCAGAGCGAATGTAATTAAGCGTGTTCACGAGTAAATATTGTACGTGTACTTATTTGTGAAGAAGTGGCAATAGGCGGAACGGCAAGCGATGTGGAGGTGGGAAGACATAGAACGACAACGAAAAAATCATGGGATAATTAAGGTGCCATTTCATGCGTAATGTATAACCGCAACAATTTGCTATTATTAGTTAAAGTTTGATGCACTTCTAGCGCAAAATACTTTTTTATCGCATCTCATTTTGTTGTTTTCAAGTCGAATCGAGCAAATAAACAACAAATCCGGCTTTCTGCCTTCTTAAATTTTCCAAATTATATTTTTAAATTCAGTAGTGCCCTTGGCGTATATTTTTCATAAATTGCTTATATCAACGAGTTAATTAAATGTACAATAGTGATTATAAAACAATTAATTACGACTATTTCTTGTTATTAGCATTATTCAATTAGGAGAAAGGGAGGTAAGATGACGAAGATAACGAATTATTAATTTTTTAAAGATAATAATAGATGAAAAGCAGATGCTTAACTCATTGAAGGCTTTAGGTAATAATACACAATCTCTTATAGTTTGAATTCAATCTGCGATTACAAAAGTAGATAATATATTAAGAAATGTGTTTTGGATGTATTCACTTGTAATTTTGCAGTATTTGTATATAAGGAATGACATAATTATAGTAAATACTTTCATTTTTGTAATAAAATTGACTTAATAAACTTAAATTGACTTTTGTCTTATCTATACTATATATTAAAAGTCATTTTATCCACATATAGGGGCAAGAATGGCAAGATGACGAAATTGATATGTCCTTAAAAAATTAAATTTTAAAGAATTGTAATTTATTTAACAAGTTTATAATTTTAACAAATGATAACTAAGACTGTAGTAAACTTGAAAAAAAAATAAATCAGTCTCTTTACCTCATCATAGAAATTAAGAAAAATCGACAAACCTTAAGGTCGTCATCTTACCCCCCTTTCGCCTATATACCTGAGAAAAAATATTTCATATAAAATTATATATAATTATGTATAAAATATGTTCATATATGTAACATTTTTTCCCGGGTATTTGTTTAAGAGACGAATAATAACGTTAAAATACGCGCAACAGTTATTTTTTAAATAATATTTATAATATTTTGAATATATACTTTAATTTGGATACTTTTGTATGTTACAGATCAAGTTGCAATTTCACTGCTGCGTACCTCTCTTACGGTGAGTGTTAAAGTATTTTTTAATTCAATCTTTTACGCACGCTAACAGTAGTATACAAATATATAGTATATAAATATATACTCGTATGTGTATAACTTTATATTTGTAGTAAATAAATAAGAATTTAAGCAAAATTTTGTTTACTATTATTGATGTTTATCTTGTCGTATTACTTAATAATTAATTCGTTAGATTATAATTATATACCTTTTATAAATAATGTACCTCTACAAATTGTGACGATATGATACTATAAACGAGTGATTTTTCTTTTATGAGACAAAGGGAAGGTTACTATATTTTTGCAAGATATAAAAAACTCAGAATTCTTTAGAGCAATAAGAACCTTAACAATAAGAAACTTCATCAGAAAGTATGACTTTATAAAAAAAAAAACTATTAATTTCTTCATTTCATAATTTATGCACAAAAATATATGAAAAAATATATAGTTTATTAAAATATTTAATTTATTAAAAATTTTTTATCTGTTTTTATCTATAACACATACATTTACACACACAAAAGGTATTTTTAATCAATTGAATATTTATAAAAAAAAATTTTTTTCGTTTCTGAAATTTGTTTTACTTTTCTATATAGCACAGAATTTGCAGCAATATCGCTGCAAAATCTCTGCAATATTGCTGTAACATGCAATGTTGCAGCAGTGTTACTGCAACTTTTGTGCAACTTTGTGCTATAGGGGTAATTGTTAAGAATTAAAAATTCTATTTAAAGAGAAACTAAATTTAAAAGCGAAAGTTTTGCAAAGTGCATGTTCTTAGTATTGAATATTGATAGTATATCAGATAGATGATCACTGTATCTTATTGTTAGTTAAATAAAGAAAGTGTCCTTAGCTAACTATTGCATTTGCCTAGCCTTGACTGGAGCAAAATAAAAGCTTGTAACGATTTTCGAGGCGTGTCTCTGAATTTTCCGTACAAACTTTAACAGTATAATATATTCTACTAGCAAAAATAAAAAAAAGATATTATATAAACATAATATAAGTCTTTATATTAAATGTTATATTAAAAAGTTACGACAAAAATATATTAAATGTGTAAAAAACAATGTTACCGAAGTTTGCATTTCAAATTGCTGTCCATCCATGTTAATACAAACTTGACGTCGATATAATTTTGAATTTATCATCTTTTGTTGCGAGGATAGAGAAAACCTTTATATAAAAATGTCTTCTATTCTCGTAACAAAAGGTGATAAATTGAAAATTACATTGATGTCAAGCTTGTTTTAACATGGACAGACAGCAATTTGAAATGCAAATTTCGGTAACATTGTCTTTTTACACATTTAATATTTTTGTTATAATTTTTTAATATAGCATTTAAATTATTATTAAAATATATAAATATTATAATAATAATAGCATTTAGAGATTTATATTTATATAATATATTTTCCTTATTTTTGCTGGAAAACATACTGTTAAAGTTTGTTCGGAAAATCTAGAGACACTCTGTATGTATTTACAAATGCATTTGTCTCGAAACACTCTGAATATATTTAGCTTTAGATGCGAAGACCTGCAATGCTGAGCTAAATTAACGCTTACTTCAACTTTATTCACATTGCTTTTAATGCTTCTTTTAATTTCAATTTAAACTATTTCGCAATCGGTGAATTGCACAAATTAATTGTAGATTAGAATATTGCCTTTCAGTAATTGATTTTATTCACCGGATTTTAATTGTATGGCTTTGAGAACGAAAGAGAATTTAACTGTAGGAAGGGTATTCGCTTTTATAAAAGAAGAGTTTTATTATTATAAAAAAATTTATGTTTCTCTCTTTTAAAAGATGATTCGTTTCTCATCAAATCTTACGATGAAAAATTGTCTTTAAACTTAACATACAGTTTTTCGAAGATGTGTACCATTCCATTGTGTGTACATACTTTACAGAATAATATTTTTCCAAGAAAATATAATATTATGCAATGAAATGAAAGTAGCATAAAATAGAAATAAAGGTTTATGTTTTATATTACAATTTTATTTCACATACAAAGCGCGAGAAGACATACACATACATTTGCGCGTAATTTCTCAAGGTTCTCTTTGCGTTTGCTTTTGATCTCGTTTGAAGTAAAGATAAATGCTATGTTTGTGTATAAGAAAATTTTAATTTGGCAGTAAGACAAATATATAGTCTCTTAACAACACTGTTCGGAATTTATAAAAGAGTAAACAAATATTGTATGGGGGGATAGAAAATACTTTAAAATTTTAATTCATAAATTATATTTAGTTTTATATTTTATCAGATTTTATCTCATAAAATATATTTTTTCTGATATACCATGTTTGTCGGAAAAATAACGAATCTGATTTTTTACAATATATCAATATAATAAAATTAAACAACTTACTTCATAAGAATCGAGAGAGAAATAAACAAAAAGTATATACATTTATAATGAACTTATTAACACGTTTTGTCCTATTTGCTTTTAATTACACTATATAGTTTATAGCAAAAAATTTTTTTGAATAGGTATTTCTTACAGAAAAATGCTGAAAACGTGTGCGATGCCGTAAGTAAAAAAATTTCAGCACGTCAGATTCCCAAGATAATTAATATTTATTGTCCAAAAAATGGTTTTAAAGATAATATTTGACTTTTTTTTAAGTTAAATCTTATCTTTGAATTCATAATTAAGTAAATTATAGTGTATTTCATCCTCTATAAAATACATACTTTTTATTTCAATATCTTACTTTTTAAGCCATGTTATGAAGAATTTAAATATCTTTTTTCTAAGATAGCAAATTTTTCGCTTATAACGATGAAGTCATATAAAGTTTTCAGTTTGTAGTTATCGATACACGTACACAAACTATAAAACTTTTGTTTAAAATAATTTTTTTTTAAATGCACTTTGTTTCGATGATATTTGAGATATTTCGATGATATTCGAGATATTTGAGATGGGCAATTAAAATGAGACATTCTATGTGTGTACGTACATATATTATATTTACGTATATGCATAAATGTACATATACATTTAGCGGATCTATAACGATAAATTACACTGTACCAATAGTCGTATACTAGAAATGGTAAGTATATATAACTTTATCGTCGTAGGCGAAAAATTTACCATCATAAAAAAACTCTATATAATTAAATCTTTCATAATATGTCTAAAAAGTAAGATATTAAAATTAAACAGATATTTTTATAAAGGATGAAAAAATACATTTATAACTGATGATCATTTGAATGAAAATTTCAAGATAACGTTAACCTTTTTGTTACAAAAAAAATGTCAAATTTCGCAAAAACCATTCTTTTGTATTAAATCATTTATTTCGAAATCTTGACGTGCTAATAAAATTTAACTTGCGGCATCGTTGTCGATATTTAAAAATCTATAAGAAATACCTTGTTTCTTTTAGAGTAATTAAAAAAAAATTTTTTTGTGAACTAATGTTATTTACATTTTCCTAAAAGTATGCCACATTTTAAAAATAAAAGTTATTTTTATAAAAATTTATGAAAAAAGGAAAATTAGGATTTACAATCAATTTCGAA